AATTTATATATACCATTTTAATATAAGAGATTAAAATAAATTATTTAAAATTAATGACTTCAATTTAGTAAGAAGTGACAATTATATTTAATTGATGTTTTTAAATATAAACTTTCACTTATCTACAATTTATAAATACAAGCAGATAACTAAACTCGATAATACCTATATATAGTTTGAGTAAATCGTATTTCTTATCACTATCTGGACTTATTGCTCTTGATTAAATCAATATAAATAGGACTATCTGTTTTGCTGTAATCTAGAAATAACTTATATAAACGATCATCTACCGTTTGTTTTCGAAAGACTTTTATCACTAATACTATAAGTTTTATAAATTCATTATTATATATAATTTAAATGAAAGAATTAAATTAATTTTATTCAATTAACATTTCTTCTTAAATAAAAAAAACGATGTAAGAAAAATTATATCGATTGACAAGTTTTCTTTAATGATAGCTTCATTTAAATTTTTCTTCTGTTCGATTTGAATATCTGCACGTACCGCATTTTTTAAGTTTCGTAATTGTTAGTTACACTTCAATGTCAACTACTACACGTCCTTCACTTCAAAAAATTATTATTTCTCTAAGTATGAATGCAAATTGACATTTATACACCTATCTGATGATTAAATCATGCGTAATACTCAAAACTGAAAAAAGTTCGAAGAATATTACTATATTATTTATTTATTTATTTATCTTTCTTGAATTGAAAATAATTTCTAAAATTTAATTAAACAAAATTTAATCTGACTACGTTTTCGAATCTTAATTTGTAATTATATATTTTGAAATTAACATATGATATGTTGATTCTCTACAAAAAGTTTTTTGAATGTATAATTTTTAAACTGTAAATTTTACGTTTAAAATCAAATAGTAAGTTTTTTTCCATTAATATTGATAACGTTTTAAAATAATATCATATTTATAATATTAATGACGTGTTTCAGTAAAATATTTTTTTTTTTTTTGACAATACTGTAACTAATTCGATAGAAAGTAGAAGGTAAGCCCGGCATTTCCCGGGTAAAAAATAAGAACAAACATTAAGATTAGGTCATTTCGTATTTCTCATCCTTCTATTATATTATATTATCGAATTTGATTTATAAGGTAGCCGATCTTACCCGTTTTCACAGGATGCAAGAATTAGGTGTTAGGTCCCCCCTCTTCCAGGTCTAATTAGAGATTTTTAAATGGGTCTAAAAATACGTTCGATTTCCCGCAAAAACGCTAAAAAAATCTCATCTAAAATAGTACGGTAGAAGCTGAGTTCTTCAGGGTAATCCTTAACTCTCTCTCTCTCCCCCGCGGCGGAGAATTTCGAAAAATCCTTTCTTACTGCATATTCTCATGACGTACTTTAACTGTGTTCCAAATTTCAACTTTCAATTCCTAACCCGTTTAGGCTCTGCGCTTATTATTATTATCAACCCATCTTGATTATATTATAAGATACAATAATTTCTGTTATAAAATTGTTGAATTAATTTTTATTTATTTAATAATAGCATAACTAAATTGCTTTATTAAATGCTAAAATAAAATAACTGTAAATTAATTTAATTATAGAATGTCATTTCGAATTTCTAATATTTGTATATAGGAAACAATACAGTTTTACATTCTGATATTTTATTTCTATGTCAATAATAAAATTTTATTAAAATTAAGACATTAGTTTCATAAAATCTTTTTAAAATTAAACATTTTGTACTAATTAATGTCGGTGTTTTATTATTATTTAAATGAACCTAAGAAACTTACTAAACTTTGGAATCTTACTCTTGACCAATTTCTATTTATAAGCTCTTCAAAAAAATATTTTTCAGAAATAAATATTATATTTTCATGGCTTAATTATATTTTAAAGCAATTTATATAAAATAAATGTTATATCGATAAAATTTATATTTCTATTAGGAAATAACATAAAGTTAAGTTTTATTTCAGTAAGTCGACCCCCCTATAACACTGTTGATTATTCCGTTTTATATGAATTCCATGTTGTACGAGTCACTTAGATTTTACAAATACGTATGCCGGGCTGTGAATGGCTCACGTATTTGTAAAATCTAAGTGACTCGTACAACATGGAATTCATATAAAACGGAATAATCAACAGTGTTATAGGGGGGTCGACTTACTGAAATAAAACTTAACTTTATGTTATTTCCTAATAGAAATATAAATTTTATCGATATAACATTTATTTTATATAAATTGCTTTAAAATATAATTAAGCCATGAAAATATAATATTTATTTCTGAAAAATATTTTTTTGAAGAGCTTATAAATAGAAATTGGTCAAGAGTAAGATTCCAAAGTTTAGTAAGTTTCTTAGGTTCATTTAAATAATAATAAAACACCGACATTAATTAGTACAAAATGTTTAATTTTAAAAAGATTTTATGAAACTAATGTCTTAATTTTAATAAAATTTTATTATTGACATAGAAATAAAATATCAGAATGTAAAACTGTATTGTTTCCTATATACAAATATTAGAAATTCGAAATGACATTCTATAATTAAATTAATTTACAGTTATTTTATTTTAGCATTTAATAAAGCAATTTAGTTATGCTATTATTAAATAAATAAAAATTAATTCAACAATTTTATAACAGAAATTATTGTATCTTATAATATAATCAAGATGGGTTGATAATAATAATAAGCGCAGAGCCTAAACGGGTTAGGAATTGAAAGTTGAAATTTGGAACACAGTTAAAGTACGTCATGAGAATATGCAGTAAGAAAGGATTTTTCGAAATTCTCCGCCGCGGGGGAGAGAGAGAGAGTTAAGGATTACCCTGAAGAACTCAGCTTCTACCGTACTATTTTAGATGAGATTTTTTTAGCGTTTTTGCGGGAAATCGAACGTATTTTTAGACCCATTTAAAAATCTCTAATTAGACCTGGAAGAGGGGGGACCTAACACCTAATTCTTGCATCCTGTGAAAACGGGTAAGATCGGCTACCTTATAAATCAAATTCGATAATATAATATAATAGAAGGATGAGAAATACGAAATGACCTAATCTTAATGTTTGTTCTTATTTTTTACCCGGGAAATGCCGGGCTTACCTTCTACTTTCTATCGAATTAGTTACAGTATTGTCAAAAAAAAAAAAAATATTTTACTGAAACACGTCATTAATATTATAAATATGATATTATTTTAAAACGTTATCAATATTAATGGAAAAAAACTTACTATTTGATTTTAAACGTAAAATTTACAGTTTAAAAATTATACATTCAAAAAACTTTTTGTAGAGAATCAACATATCATATGTTAATTTCAAAATATATAATTACAAATTAAGATTCGAAAACGTAGTCAGATTAAATTTTGTTTAATTAAATTTTAGAAATTATTTTCAATTCAAGAAAGATAAATAAATAAATAAATAATATAGTAATATTCTTCGAACTTTTTTCAGTTTTGAGTATTACGCATGATTTAATCATCAGATAGGTGTATAAATGTCAATTTGCATTCATACTTAGAGAAATAATAATTTTTTGAAGTGAAGGACGTGTAGTAGTTGACATTGAAGTGTAACTAACAATTACGAAACTTAAAAAATGCGGTACGTGCAGATATTCAAATCGAACAGAAGAAAAATTTAAATGAAGCTATCATTAAAGAAAACTTGTCAATCGATATAATTTTTCTTACATCGTTTTTTTTATTTTTANATATATATTAAATTAAGAAAGGAGTGAGATAATTTATAAATAAAGTAATAAAAATCAATATTAGTACAATTATATTAATTAATAGAGGAATTTCGAAGAAGAAATTTTTTTTTGTAATTCATAACATATTAATAGTCATTTTGCTTAAAACTATACAAAAGAATTTAAAAACAAAACATCATTTTCATATGGCAATGCCCCTATAGAATTTCTCGTGCAAGGCAATGCCCTTTTGTCTCTATGTTTTCACTTATTAATGTAAACTTAAAAATTTTGCCTACATTTAGTATAGTTTTTATACATTTAAAACTATTATATACTCTTCATGCTCTTGTTTAATGATACTAAATTTAAAACTGATTATAACGTCTTTAATTATGATTAAAAATGATTTTTAAAAATCTTCTTGTGATGTTTTGATGCCAAAAAACTAATTAAATTTTCTTTGTATGCTAATGTTTAACTCGTGGAAACAAGAAACAATTATGCCCCAAAAATGTTTATAATTTAAATTTATTAATTATATTTACATTAAAATTTTATAATTTAATCTATTTCATCCTAACTTTTAGATTAAATAAATATATAACTGATCACGTTATAAATATGAAAGATACAGTACACTTTATTCTACGATAAGTGAAGATGAAAAATAACTCTAAATAAATATTTTTCTTTCTATAAAATTATTAACCATTGTAAATTAATTTGTAAAAATAATGGTAAATTTTAGGTCATATAATTAAACGTAGTTAAATAAATATCTTTCTAAATAAACGAATTCATTTCGGTTTATAATAGAAATGTTAAACTTCATAAGATATTTTTACAGCATAAAACACTTTCTAATCAAATGGACTTCAATATTTATAGTAAATGATATGAAAATGATGTTATTTTTCTATCTGCGATAAACGATATCAAACTTTTTCTCCATTTAAATATCGCAACTTAAAAACATAGCTTAATCAATTCACTAACATTTACTTTAAACTTATTCTTTTTAGTTAAGCTTAAAATTAGTTTTGCTATTTTAAACTTAACTAATTTTATCTAGTTATATGTATATATATATATTTTAGTTTTGGCGATTTCAAATACAATTGTGAATAGACTAAGCGATGGAAAATATTAAATTAATTACTAAATTTATTATTAAAATAAAAATTAGTAAACTAAAATAAAATAGTTTTATCTGAATACAAAAATGCAATGAAGTAAATATATTGACCGAAATGCCTTTCGACTGAAATATTAATATAAAAATACTTTCAGAAATTTTTCAACTAGGAGTGACTATCAATCTTCAAGCAATTAGGATTTCTCGTGTGTTTTTGGCACTTAAGCTACGCTGTAAATCAAAAGTATATATTTTAAAAGGTATGTGTGTATATTATAAAACTTCTTAAAATGTTTATAAAAAAACAATTGCATAAAAATAAGATTACTTCTCATATTTTAAAATATATTTCATTACTTAAAATTTAATAGGTCTCGAAATTATACAGACATATGTATAAATAAAATTTTAGAATTTATTACTACTTTAATTCTGAAGTTTCCTTTTTATATTTCCAACAAACAGTTCTTGCTTAATGTAAACCAACGTTATATAATTTAAATTATTTAATTATAAATTTAATTTCATTCAAAATTATAAATTTTATTAATAAATAAAATGGCCAGGACAACAATAAAATATATTCACAAAATGTCTTCCTATTTTGTTCTTTTTTAACACTTCAGGAACACAACACAACAGTCTTTATGGAGGAGTCAACCTTTTTTATTAAGGCAACTCATCCCTCTCGATATGCAAAAACGTTTAAAGATTCCAGGACGACCGCACGATAAATTAATCTGTGAATATTTTTTATACTTCATTGCTGTCCTGGCCATTTTATTAATTAATAGACTATATTTCATGATTGTGCCGTCGCCCAGGAATTTTTAAACGTTTTTGCATATCCAGGCGGATGAATAGCCTCAAATAAAAGGTCGACTCCGCCTTAAAGACAGTTGTGTTCCTGAGGTGTTGAAAAGGACAAAATATGAAGACATTTATTTATTGTTTCTTCCAATTTCGTGAATATTTTTTATATTATAATTAAAATATAACATCATTAATAATTGTTATGAAACGAAGAATATCTAAAATTTAAATGTGCAAAAATATCTGACAAAAATAATGAAAACGATTAAATGTTGACAAAATTTATCACTAGTTTTATCTAATATTGAAATAATATAAATAGATTGATACTGATTCTTTTATTAATCTGTTTTATTATCCTTAATTCAAGAAAAACAAGTGGCAATAATGACTTTTATCTAATAAGGCTTCAATAGCTACATGTTTAATTTTTATTTCAGTATGTTGCCCGCAATCGACATTATCATTACTGTTTTGATGCGTATAAAAATATGACAACTGATTAAACAATTATCAAAACTTTATATAATAAATTGAAAATTCATAGAATATAATGAGGAAAGAAAGAAAGAGGGGAAAAAACTTTCAGGGCAGAATGGCGACAGAAGATTTATAGACTTCGATGTAACAGTTTAAACTAACAGAAGAAAAGTTAAATGCATATCGAATTTCGCTGTTTCACATGCTCGGTTAATTAATCAAATTATCTCCATGACATTATCAAGGTTGATTTTAAATACGAGAAACATTATTCCATTTCCTTTAATTTGTTGGGTCATTGTTCTCTTTAAGATTTCGAAACAATATTTATTTATAACATAATAAATGAGAAAAAAGATTTTTCCTAGCAAATAATTAATTTTTAATTATTATAATAAATAAAATTTTAAATTTAATATAGGCAAAATTTTACGGTGTTTAATATCCGAGGCCGAAAATTCAGATTGAGGTCATTTACCTTGATGAAATAAGCATTTCAAAAAAAGAAAAGAATCCAGTTATGCATATAAAAATTCAACACGAATACTGCTTCTCACGCATATTGCAAATCTCTCATTTTAATTCACTACAATATCCTCTAATTATATAATTTTTCGCATGTTTTGCTTAAAATCCATGAATGATTAAACATTTTATTCAGATCTTTAACAATTTTTTTAGTTTCAATTGTCTTATCAAAATAAAGAACTGTTAAAAAACTGAATTAAATTTCTGTTATCGATCATACGAATCTTGTACCTGCGTATATTTGGGACCTGCAGTTAGTACGGTAGCAAAGCAGAATCTCTATAACTCGAAGTGAATAGAACGAGCTCGTAATAAAGATGTCATAGAATGCCAACAGCTGGCAGGGGATATTGCCAGGGCTACAGAGTGCTTATCAGGCACCCATCTCGGCCCCTTCGAGGTCAAACCCGTAACTCAGCCCCTGACAGCCCACAAATCACCGGGCTCGGTGGCAAATGACTCCGGGGCTGCAAACCCACGTACGAGGTCCCCTTCTGCGAGATCTGCTCTCCAGCACGTGACATTTTCAGTTCTAATTAACCGCCAGTTGATGTTTAGCTTTATCACCTGTTTTGTACCAGTTTTATAGCACGAAATTAGATTGGAGTTAATAACTACAGCTCCCCCGCTAGGCTCTCTTAAATGAAGTATGAGAAAAATCCATTATGTATTGTGTATAATAAATCTAGATCTATCAATCCAGAAAACTTCTAACAAGTGACACAATGTGGACCCCTTTAAGTAATCATTAAATTCTATCTGTGAAGAAAATTACTTCCCTGGACCTATCACTTACGAGAGAATGCCGTTTAGCTTGACACCGATAAATACTTGGTAAGACCTTGATAAGTTCATTGGCTCACCGTTGCATCGGATCAACACCTTGGGCAAGATTCATCAAGAACTACACTAAGCCTGGATCTGTTCAACTATTCAATATCCGAGGTACAAATTAAGGAGACTATGACCCACTTTTCCAAATTTGCATAATGAGATAAAAAGTGTAACTTATGCTTAATTCATTTAAAATACAGTAACAATAGATAACTTGTAAAGAAGTTTTAAAAATTCATTTGAAAAATACATCGTTTTGATATGTTTAATTAGAAAATACAATAAGAACTGAATATTATAAAGAAATTTATGAATTCGATTATTTAAAATAATGAATTATTTCGAAAGATTTATTATAATTACGTTAAGCTATGTTTTAATATTAAAAACTGTTATTTTACTTGTTTTACCAATGAGTATTTTGGAAAATTACATAATTTTTGTATTGATTAAACATACACGAGAGAGAAAGAGAGAGAGGAGAGAAACTAATCGTGTGTGCATTCCACCCTGAATCACTACAGCATGTGATGTGTGAATAACATCCCCCACTTGCTGGAAGCACTTATATAATGTTTAATAGCTTGTCACATGATTTCCCTCCTTGTGTCTCTTGGAACAAAAGATAGCGAACACGTCACAAAGTTGACGTCATACGTAAGCGGCAAGTAATATCAGGTAAGAAATTCTAAATTACAAAACACGAATGCGTAGAAGATTCCAGTGAAATGCATGTTATTTCCCGTTCATTTTGATTAATTACATTCCAAGAAAAGCACTTGACGTAACTGTCAGGTGGTGAGGACCACAGAATAGCGAAAAATCGGTCGAAAACCGCGTTCCATGTTATTTATTCATGCATGACTCTCTGCAAATCTTTATTTTTGGATGTTCTTCCAGGACATTCACTGGGACAAAAATATGTTTCGTTGTGTCATCCTTACAAGATGGAATGTGATGTTTGTATACAAACTGTTTATCTGTAATTAGTTTTATATAATTGAAATCAACTGTATGTGCAGTTTTCGTAATACAAAAAATCTAGAATAGACTTACCAATAAAATATTTAATTTTTCTTTTCAGTTTAAAAAGGTGAATGAATTTACATTCTGTCCTTGATGACAAATCAGCAACGGTTAAATAAACCAGCTGCGAAAATAGAAAGTTTCCCGTACTGGTCATTGGCCGATATCCGTTCTATATTAGAACGCATGAATGTTTCTCCTCAAGACACACGTGTAAGGTGGATAAACCCTCCTAAGATCACCAATTGAACTAATTGTCAGACTCTTTTTCCAATAAATCCAACTTTTAAATCTCTAAAGTTCCTGACTATTGAGTATATAGCATGATACCATACAATTTTTTTATGTGAAAAGGGAGGGGAAGAAACGATCGATCTTCTTGATCAATTACAACTGACCCAACTTCCGGGGAAACGAATTCGAAACAGATACCACCGGAAATTAGTCTTCTTTCACGAATATCATAAGCTGACTTGGCTTAATATCAGATTTCGACAAACGAGATAAGAATTTAAAAAAACGAAAGAAAAAACGCAAAATATCTAATAGTTAATTAATTCAATACATTAGTTCTAATATAAGTTTTAATGACTTAGTTCACTGTAAAAGGTCAGCTGCATATTCTTTTACTTCTAAAAAGCATATAATTATTTAATTAAAATTTATCACGGATTTAATTATTCATACAAATATTGTTAATTAATGATTAAAGTTTAACTAATAATATATAAAATTTACTAGATAAACGTTCATGCATGTATAACAAATATACATCATGAATATAATTTATTTATTTAGATCTAAGCTTACGTAAAAAGGAAAGAAATTGATTTAAAAATGCTCGATAACCTTTTAGATTTTAAAACTCTGATACTACGTCAAAAGAGAAAGCATTGCCTTAGAAAATTTTCAGGGTTAAAACAAAGTAATGACTTCGTCAAGTAACGGTTGTTTCGGATGACCTTGATGCGATAGTTTCCCGCAGTCAGGTTATGTAACTCGTCGTCACTCTCCATTTATGACGTCACATGACCTATCGTACTTGACATTCAAGGACAAGCAGAAGACTATGTCAAAGATATCATCTTATTTTTATCTCGACAAAGGTGGAAAGAATCTTGCAATGCCACTGCATTATTCTAGTTCTTATCCTAAGCGAAAGAGCAATTAACATATTCGGAGATAAGATATTTCCCAACTGGAATCGAATTAACGACAAGTATGATTATTATGCTATCAATTTCTGTCAAAAAAAGTGCGATTTAAATAACAAAAAATAGTTGAACTATAATAATATATATCAAAACGTAACAAGATATATGTAAAACGTTTGAGGGAGAATTAATTAATATCAATTATATTCGTATAACTTTATAATTTGTTTGAGCAACACTAACCTAAATAATACATAATTTAATATTTTGTTGTTATTTAAGAAAACTAATTATCCTAAATAAAAAAGTTTATGATAAACGTTCATAATAGAAAACGTTTCATAAACGTTCTAAATGAAAAAAAAGTAGACAGACACAATAAATTTATTACATTATTATCTAGTTTATTATGTAATATCTGTTGACATATTTAATGCATTTTTAAATTTATTGTCTAAATTAATTATAAAAATTAATTTCGAAAAAGTATTTTTTAAATTATATTTCGAGAAAAGTTTAATTTACGATTCCATTTACACACACACATATAGTATGTCACACATAAGCAAGTTTTGATTTATTATATTCTGTTATACGTTTTTATTAAATGTTTAAACCGGCATCAAGAAAAGATTAAAATAAATATTTCCCGGCTGTTAGTTTTATGTTTATTTATTTTAATGAATAATACACAGAAAGATATAATGTTAAAAAGGTGTCTTTTTTAAGACAATAGAAGTACGATTTATAAATTTATTTTAAAATAAATTTATATTTTTGGATAAAAGATTTATAAATGTCAATCATAAAACGATTATGTCATCATTAAAAACATAAGATCATCTTAAAAACTAAATATTTTGATTAAAATTTTACAAAAAGTAACAAATTAAATAAACAGAGTTAGATAATTGACAACTAATTAATATAAACGAAGCAGAAACCTCTTCGGACCTTACTTTGTAGGCTTCCAGAAAGGTAACGTAGGAAGGGTTGATAAATAGAAAATTTTTGAAAAGTATAAACTATCATAATCCATATGTTTGCTAAATAAAATGGAAAATTATTTATTGAAATATTACAATAAGATAAACGAATCAAACAAAAACCTGAAAGGAACAATTAATTCAAGATTATCTCGTTCATATAAATAGATTCTCTCTATGTAATTTTGAAAATTATACATGGGCATTTTACTATTAATGACAATTTAAGCTATATTATATATAACTTATCGAATAATTTAATTTAATTAAAACCAATCCTACATAATCTGTACCAAAATCTTTATTATGTCATAATGGAAAAGAAGCCATCACTTACATCACTCTTATATCACTTTAATTTGCCGCCCAGTTTAAAATGTCCATGAATACAATTTGTCCTTGGTGACATATCAGTAATAGTTGGACTATAAATCTCCATTATAATCACAAAGATATTTTTAAAAATTCTCAAAGAATATTGTCGTTAAATATTTCATTTTTAAAATTTAAGCTGTAAAACAACACGTTTTTAATAGGGAATATTCTTCTTTCACATTGAAATGAAGAATCGAATTGAAATAGATATGTGTCTAAGAAATAATTGTAAGTTTAATATGACGATTTATAAATCACCTGAAGAATTGATAATATTTATTATGTGCTAAATTTAAAATCTAATATTTATCCTATACTTCGAAAAATGCTCTCATTTTAATATATAATTAATGCAAAGCAAATAGAAGACTATATCAGAATACTTCAGTTATCATAATCAGTTCTGCAAATTAAGATGGTTTTATACGTATTTTTGTTAAATTAAAAGCAAAATTAATAGGCCCTACTTCAAACTTCACTTGATCAAATTTAGAAAAGCCCATGGTTTATAATAAAAACCTATATTATATATTTATTCATTAGTTATTTTGTATTAATTAACTTAATTAAAAAAAATGTAACTGAATTTATAAAATATAACTAATTTTATATTTTGTACTACTTCATTTCAAGTTTTATCGAAAACTTTCAGCTCGATTTCTCTCGGATAAATAACAGATAGCCTGTCAATGACACTTCTCTGCAATACTTACAAATACTTCAAAGTTGATTGACTCCATCAATCAATTTTGAAAAGTTATTTTTAATTATCTTATCAAAATAAATTGAATTATCTTATAATCTATTTCTAAAAACACGTTATGTTAGAGAAAAATTACATTTTGTATTTTAATCATTATAATTGTTTTAAATGATGAAAATGGCCAGGACGTACTGTACAATACAATGGAAAAGTATAAAGAAGATATTTGTACTGAAATTCATTAGTAAATACACAAATATTTTAATACATTTGGTTTTGAAAAATTAGGTCGTTAATAAAAGCTATTTTCAAACTTGTATTAAAGTAATATTAATACACTATACGTATACGAATGATCTTTGAAAACTATTATATCTTTCAAGAGTATTCTTTCTATTCATGAAAATATGTCTAAAATTTCTAATAAAAGACCAGAAACATTTACGATTTAGTAAAATTGAGAAGATATAAAATTAAACAACATATATTTTTTACTTCATATTTTAGCTAGTATTTTTAAAACAAAATTTTGACTTCCAACATTAGTTTAAAACAAAATTATAGAAGCGGTTTATTTATTTATTTTGAAAATTATATAAGTTCACAAAATCTATTATTATATAAATATCATTTCCGAGTTAGCACTTGCGTTATTCTATTCTAAGAAAAATATTTTATTGATAAATAATTTTCACACACAATTATAACGAGATTTTATTGTTTAATTTATTAATTACATCTATAAATTATAACTATAAATTATATTTTTGATTATATTTTCACTTATAAATGTTAAGTAATTAATATTAAAAATCTGATGACATTTAATTTATAACGAATACTTACTATAAACGTCTGCAGACAAACTTTTGGCAAATCTATCGTTACTCGATCCGTACAATTTCATAATGAAATATTTACTTTAAAAAAGTTACATTTCTTGTTAAGAAATTGATTAAAATAGCGGGTCACATCACATTTACATAGTTGGTTCGCATTTCAAAAGTAGGTCAGAAGCTGTCATATGCGTAAAATGTAAGCCAAGGAACTTTTCTGACCCTGAGTTTCATAAAATAAAATAAAAAATTATACTTCTCTTTGTAATATACTCTTCAGTTGCTATTTCAATACCAGTTCGGATTTCGTTCAAAACTGCTTCTTTATTTAATAAATTTTTAAATAACCGCAAAAACTAGTATACCAGAATTATTTATTTAGACAATATGATAAAACGTTTATTTAAATTTATATTAATCGTAATATTTTTCAATCGATAGCGCGTACGTTAATTTAGCCACGTGACATATCCCTTACAGGCCTCCCAATTTTTCCCCATTTCTCAACGTGCCCTCGAGAACTATGATTGCAGCTGTTGTTGCAACGTCAATTCAATATTCCATTATACACTAACGGATCCACTCTTGATATAGAATCATATTAAAAACACCTGTGCAAATCATGCTACCTCTACCAAGTCTTTTTTATTCCATACTTTTCAAACATTATTTATACAACAGATAATTCCCAATAAAAAATTTAAATAGTTTATTTAAGAAAGAAGTTTTTATTTTTATTAAAATATTATATAAATAAATTTTCAATTCATTTTTATAAACATTCTTAAATTAATTACAAAGTTGTGCATAAATATGCTAGAATCAAATATATAAACATGTTATTACATTTATCAATTTTCATTACTTTATTAAACAGTTTATAAAACCGCAATTTTGAGAAATATTTTTAAAAATCGTGTTAAACTTGCTATAAAATAATGCTGGAGAGATGGCCTCTCTACGACAGAACAAGAAATAGCAATTACATATCATCAACGAATCTAGCTATTAAACTAGTAACTTATCTGATGACCTCATTCTCGCATTTAATAATTTTATCTATTTAAATATAACCTAACTATATGCAAAAAATATATTTCTGGATTCCATCAGATACAATATGTAATAAGAACGTCTAAGATATAGAAAATGTCATTAATACGACATAAGACAAAAGTTAAATACAATTAAAACTTATTTGTTACAGTTAATCTAACTCATATT